TTTCATTTATTTATTTTTCTCTTTTTTTTTCTTTAAAAAAAAGATTTATGTGTCATTCTTTTTTCTCTTATCTGTCCTGATGAATCTGGATGATAATGAGATGAATTGACCATTTTGACCCTTTTGTTCCTGAGGCTTGCTTTGGACCACACTTTAATGGCCTCCCACAAGTGGGTCCCACTGGAGGATCAACGACATATCATGTACCCCTTTTTAATTTATTTACTCGTTTGTTCCCAGATTTTCTTGTTCTTTTGAGATGCAGAGTTATTGAAGATCTTAAATAGACGGCTCTGATTAGCATTTGGATGATTTGATGGACCCTATTAAACTTAGACGGGTTATCGGTATATATCCCTTGCCTTGCCACGCAACTCACTTGTGTAGAAGCAAAGACTAGAGATGTTAAATGGGTTGAATTTGTTATGTATTAGTAAATTACTTGGTTAAATATGAAATAATTTAATTTTTAAAATATTGATAAAATATGTATGATATAATTTAATATACTTATTTGTTTTAACATACGTGATAAAATGATCCATTTAATATATTTAAGGAAGATAAAATAATAAGTTTTGAAGTTTTAGAATAATTTTTATACATCATCTTTCCTTTCTAGGGAGTCAAATGGTCATATGATTGATGATTTATATTTTTAAAAACAATGATACTATCTTATCTAAAATATAAAATTTAGGTTTTTTAATTATATAAAAAATATGTGTGATATGTCTATTAGTAAAGAATTTTGCACTAATCAGCGAGATCCGATCAATCTTACTAGAATCGGAATTGATGTATACGTGATTAATGATAATCAACGATGAATATGAAAAAAATGAACTAAAAACAAGAGATTTTTAAAGTGGTTTGGTCAAGTTAACAACATACGTCCACTGTGTTTTTGTATTTGTCGTGAGAGGGGTTTATATACAAGATTTGTACAAATAAAGCAACGAAATTCAAGGGATTAGAACTGATTTGAATAATAATTCTAATATCCTCGCGATTGGCACTGTGATTGTACAGTGATCACCGTTGATCCAATCATTCTCGCAATATTTGAGATCTGAAGTAATTTGGAGATTGATTAAATGATTCTTTGAATTATTCGCGACTAGTTTATGCTGAGTCGAATTATAGCTCGACGAGCTTATATTGAGTCGATCAATCGTAGTTGTCGAGCTCATTCTGAATCAAACCATATCCTTGAGTTGGCCTGAGCTTGACGGAAAACCACACACAACAATGTCAAATTATCTATAAATCTTGAAAAGAATCAGACATGATAACTTAAATCATTGAATCGGTTATACCAAATATAAATACAAAATCCGAGTGAAAGTAACTTTGATTTTGTGCGAGCAGAAACACCTCAGATTTTCGCTGGAGGTAGATGCATGCACATGAAGATCGAGAAACGGGAGTCACGTGACGTGACTGATTGCCAAGTTCTTATACATACCTAGCTAGAATTACACTGTAAGCTCTACGGTTTCACTTTTACAATTCTGACTTCTGACAAGTACAACCCACCCTCTGACTAAAGATAGTGCCTCGTCAACTTTCTGGGCCTTATGGAGAATGAAAGGGTATTTTTGACACTTTAATTTAAATATTAAACTCCACTGTCTTTACTCTTTACGACACCATGATGATGATTCATCAAAGGATGAAATCTTTATAATCATTAACCAATCATCTCCTTTGTTCCAAAAGCCAACCTCTCAACGGTACCGTTTTGTGTGTTTTTTGGGCTCTCTCGTGATTCAAGTACCAGTATCGAAAACCTCTATTTCTTAAAAGAAGTTCCTAAGGTACGTTAGTCCGGGGATGTGTTTTATATTTGTTAAAGTTTTGTGTAAAATCAGAGGCCCAAGAACCCATTTTGTTATTGTCTTTTGGCCGCACCCACCCATAGTATAGTGTGTTGTAAAGACACTTTGGTATCAGAAAGTTTGTAAATGGTAAACACTCACTTTTCTGTTAGTGAATTTCGTCAGCTAAAGGATGATACGGTAAGTTCATATTTAGTCAGAAGAAAAAAACGCAAACAAGGGGTGGATGTTTTCAAAACCAGAAATTTTTTGGTCGGCTGCAGGGAAATGGCCGGGGAAACACTCACCAAATACTTAACCCATTTCATGCCAATCTGTTCAAAAGCAACTGAGTATGCACCATTTACATCAATTTTTGGTCGTTGGCGGCAGGGAAATGGCCAAGGAAACACTCACCAAATACTTAATCCATGTCATGCCAATTTGTTCAAAAGTAACCGAGTATGCAACATTTACATCAATTTGGGTATACTTTACCATCATGGTCAATGCCAAAGCCATCAAACAATAAATCACAATAATCATAGACATTGAACCAACCAAACCAATTGGTATATCCCTTGTAGGATGCTCAGTCTCTTCAGCCATAGTTGCCACCATGTCAAAACCAGTATAAGACCAATAAACCACAGCTGCAGCTTCAAAAAACCCCTTTGCACTGAAGGGTGAAAATTGGCACTAAATGTGAACTCTTGCCATGAACAAACCCAACAACAATAACGAACACAATCACACAAGCAGCGAAATGGTCGGGGAAATCAAGGTGAGAGGGACATGGGTTTTGGAGAAGGTGATGTGGGGATTCATATGGGAGTGAGGGCGGCGTCCATCAGCGCCGGAATCCGGCTAGTTCTGGCTTGATCCGGTTGTCGCTAGGGTGAAGATGTGTCACGGGAAAGAGGAAATTTCGACCAAAAATGGGTCAATTCTGGCTGGGGATCGAGGAGGATGTTGATGGGAGGTGAGATCAACTGAAAAGGTGAAGGAAAAAAGAAAAAAAGTCGGCAAGAATGGCGGCGACGACTTTGAAGAAGAAAGGTGGAAGATGGAGAGTTGAGAGAAAAAAGATGGTTTTAACTGAAGAAGAAAGGGATGAAATGACATAATCACCCTTTATTTGTTTTTGAATTTACTATCTTACCATTTTACAGTTAAATTTAACGAACATGTGTTTGTCATATCCAAACTTTTAGGTACCAAATTGTTATTATGATAAACTACGGGTGGGTGCATTCGGCCTTGTCTTTTTCCTTTTTTTACAAATTTGGGCCTTATATAAGTTCAAAATTTAAACCTTCTTTCCAATAATGTTTTTCAAATCCAGATATAAATCTTTACAAATGATGTCATCTAGATACGCTGATTTTATTATATGTGATAATTAAATTTGTGGGATCACCATTTCTTAACTTTATCTGTAAATAATTTCTAAAGCTTCTAACCAAGAATCGTCTTTTCTATTTTTTTGTCTGGGATTTAATTGATTCAATCTAGTTTCAAATTTAAAATTCTTCACTCCTCTTTCTAATTCTTTTTACTTCTTTTCAAATTTTGAGGTAAAACTAAAAGACAAATTTAATACCATGACTACGCATAATGAAAGCGCTTAAATTATTTGGAAACTGTAACCATCTTACTATTTTCACATTAATTTTAAAATAAAGAATAATAAGAGTACGTCGACCTTGCAACTTTAAAAAACTTTTTACTTTCTGAATGCAATTTTGATGGCAGGATAATCATGTGGTAGTCATGATAAAAAGAAGAATGAAATGTTAATGTGGTATTGGCTATTAATTAACCATAAATTATCTAACCACCAATCTGTAGTGCTAAACGTTAATGGTTTGGCTTGCCTGTGTCAGAGTATTCATAAAAGATTGTTCATCCTCTCCGGCGGAAGATTGACCAAGCTAAGCTATTGTAATCAAAAACTTAAAGAGGACTGAATTACTTTATAGAATTAATCTAAAAAATCTAGAAAATTAGATGGGTAGGTCCCACCGGGAGTCGAACCCAGGTCGCTGGATTCAAAGTCCAGAGTGCTAACCACTACACCATGGAACCAGTTACTCAAGTGCAGTAAAATTACTTAATCATTTCTTCTTTCAGTCTGCTATCGCATCCGCCACTATTGTGGTTGGCTACTTTTCTGAATGTAAGTTCAGGTGTTGAACTTCAACATGTTTGTATGATAACATCATATATATATTAGGGTGTTGGGTACTAGATAGTAAGAAATGTGTCAGCTGTGGACTCAAGATTACATTCTATACTTGGTGTTTCGACATCCGATATTAGCTGTACATATTGAGCATGAAGGCGACTGTTCATAAACGAATCACTGAGAATATATATTGTGGTCCTAATTGCGATCTCCCAGCCTACTTCGTTTGCAATAATTGAAGCCTTGCAATTAGCTTCAACATCGATATGCGCTGAGTCATCAAAAGAAAGAACAAGTCCTAGTTGAGACAATTATTGAAACTAGTAAGAGAGAAATACATAAACGATTAGGTATTTTTCATTAAGGAGGATTGAAAGTCTCTTTCATACCAATTACCATAGGGTGGTCTAATGATTAACTAAAACTCTCAGTTGTATTACTCAAGAGATCATGAGTTCGATTCACTTCGACCTATAATAGTTGTGGTCACTGGATTTTTACCCGGTCATTAACTTCAAGACTTTCAGGATTATTCTGAATATTAATTCGATGATTAGTTAAGATATGCGTAAGTTAGCTCAAACACCTTGATTGACAAAGAAAAAAAAGTCACTTCCATACCCGGACTAATTAATTAAATATCTCCCTTCATTACTTGAGATACGTTAACTCGAGAATACATAAAATGTTAGATCTAATTAATTGAGTTGATAATTAGATGACATTAATCATTTATGAGAGATGTGCAATTTAATTAACCCTTTTGAGTTAATTCGATCGACTCTGTCTTGGTATATATATAGTGCCAGTAATTTTATCAACCTAGTTGGAACAAAATATCAGCTTCATTCATACACTTTGACTTATATTTTATAAAATTCAAAGTAATCTTCAGTTTTCTTCGGTTATTATATGGGGCAAATTTTAATTGAAGTTACATTAAAAATATGCACATTAGAGACCAAAGTCAACTAAATTAAAGTTAAATTGGACATTCCACTTCTAGATCTGATGTTACAAAGTGAGCAAAAGCTAATTTGAATAGAAATACTGCTCAGAAAAAAAGATATTGAAAATATCTAGTGCATGATTAGAAACTACTGAGAACTGGTTAGGAAAGCGCAAGCTATCTAGTTGGCTACTTTGGAAGGTCTTGAAAGAAAAGCAAGTAGAGATGGGAAACAAAGTGATGGAGGTTTTTGTCTGGTATAGGAAGACAACATGTGCATTTTCTCTTTGCCTTTCATGTGAACATAGCGAAAGATAGCTCGCTTGGATACAAAGGTGGCATGATGAAGTTGTACCCAAAAAATCTGCCGCTTTTCTTTCTGTCTCATGCCCATTTTGCAGCCTGTTGACAAAGAGAAAAAAAAGCAAACCCCATTTTGTCACTGCCTTCATCGTCATGGACCACTTAAGAGAAACAAGCCAATCTCTCATGCATGGTAGGGTCTCCTCAACCCACTTAAGTCCACACCCATTTAATCCTCCAACCCACTTGGGACCCAAGCTGTGGCAAACACTGAGTTGTGACCCTTCCATGTGAGCACCAACATACCCTCTTCTCTCTTCATCCCCCAACCACTAGCATGTTCATCTAGCAAGAACTTAACGTCCCTAACAGTCTCTTCACTAAATGGAATACTGAAAAACCCTACATTCTTCACCCTCTGACACATTTTTGCCCCAGATTCTAACCTCTCTATCCTTTGAAACCCTTCAAAACTTATAATGTTTTCAATCTTGTGTCCAATATCTGATTCATACTCTAGCCTTTGGTAACTATCCTTAGGCAAAAAAGTTTCTAAGGCATCAAAGGGAATCCATAGGTAATTGAAGCAGGTAGTGATCCTTGAAGTTAGACTAGGTGCACTTAAATCAGAATCCTCATCAACCACAATTATGATACAAGGGTTAAGCCCTTTAATTATATCTAGGAAAGTGTCTCGCAAAGAAGCATCTTGATGAGCACTTCCCATTGTTTCATCGGACAAATATCGTAGCCAATTTTGGCAGTTTACCACCAAAACTTCATCATCCCTAAGGTTCAATATAGAAGGAGTCAAATGGCTTAATACTGATTCAAAATAAAAGCTAGAGGAGTCCTTACAAGAAGATGTGTCGACATCGATTATGTTAAATTCGAAGGGGACATCCCTAAACTTGGCGAAATTCCCCAAACGGAGGCCAACTTCTTCAGTTGATACATTAAGCAAGGGAGGGACTAGTGGCCTACAAGAAGGCACCGTGATTCTGAGTGAAGGAGGGCCTTCGGGCCTTTTAGCCAAGGCATCTATGAGAGTAGGCCACTGCATACAGTGAGTAATGCTAAAGTCTAATATGTGAACTCTTGGACACCCTTGAATTGCCTTGAAAATGGCACTATTTGATGCACAGAAGCCAAAACGGTGCCAAGGGATTAGATCAACATACCCGGCTAGCTCAGTGACGCTCATAAGCCTTCTGTGAATTGTACTGCTACTATTGAAACTCATCGTGGTAGGGCAAACACTGGATGCCCTAGAGATGAGTGCCCTTAAAAAACATGAGGTGAGCCTTTGGTTTGGATCACCGACTGAAGAAGCGACATTATTGAGCACCCACATCACTTGCTGTGCCAAAGTGACGTCGTTACTTTCTAAGGCACTAGCACAGTGAAGCAGAAGCTTCTCTATACATGCTCCATCCAGGCTACCAAGACACCCTCTAAGTGCTCCTGGAATAGAATTTGGAGTGGCGTTGAAGAGACGGGGGTTGTGCAGAGGAATGGACGTAGTGTTTGGTCTTACTTCAGTTTTCATGGATTGAGGTGTTGTTGCTTTAATGTGCATGGAAGGATTTGATGTGTTTAGAGGGAAAAAATGAGGGGTAATGATGCAGAGAAAAGCTTTGTGTGTTGTTTGTTTGAAACGACTTGTTGTGGATATGGGTGGATGGGATTGAGTTGCTAGGGTTTTTATCTAGTTATAGATGTGAGCTTCCAGGTTTAGGAAATATGAGGTCTTGGCTGCTGGAATTTAGGCATAGCTTTTGTGTTATAAATTTGTTAGTTTGTGGAGGAAGGAGCAAACAGAGGCTGAGAGGAGATAGAGTTGAGAACTAGTTATATTACATGCTACCTGAACCATATATATAGGGGGAGAAGTCTTTGTTGAGCGATTATCTATATAGGATGAAGCCAAAATTAAACATTAAATGAAGCCTGAGTTTGCATTATAATGACGAGGCTTCCTGGGTTAGTAGAAATGTTCTATTTAGTTAGTTTTCAGGCTTTTGGTTTTCTTTTTTTTTT